TCAACCCAGAGGCGTAGCGACCCTTCCAGGCGCCCGGGGACAAACTTTTCGATTTGCACCCCCCCTTCGAGATTTTGATTTGCAACCCCCTCAAACTTTCAATTTGCGCCCCCCTCAACCTTTCAACTTATTTTTCCAACCCATTTTGGCGCCCCCTAAGCTCGGCGCCCGGGGACATATGTCCCCCCCCCCCCGCCCCCCCCCCCCCTCGCTACGCTACTGGCTCAACCGTAGGAAGCTAATAACTTAAATAAGAACACGTCACTCTGGTCAAATTAATGCATATTGACCGATAGAGAAATGTATTCTGAATAAGAATTATATTCCTCATTTAACGATATTCGAAAAAGTCGGCAGTGGCAAGAATGGAACCTTCTCCACGGGGCTGGCTACAGCACTGTTGTGGGGCTGGGTCTGGGGCCCAAGCGGCTGTCAGCTGTATGTATACTCTCTACCTCACCTACTCTTATTGTTCTCTGATGAGTTTTTTTATCATTTTTAAAGTTGTTTTCCTTTATAATAATTTTAATGAGTTTTGAAAATAATACAAAATAGTTATTAATATTTGTGCATGGAACTGGAGAGCCGCATCTTGACATCAAAAGAGCCGCATGGGGCTCGCTAGCCGCAGGTTGCTGACCCCTGTTATAAGGCACTAAAAAGTAGAAAATAAACAACACACTACTATTTAAATAGCTATAAAGAAAAGCGTGGGTCTCTTCCTAAATATTAGTAAAGGCAAGGCGTAGCGAGGGGGGAGGGGGGGGAGGCGGGGGACACCATTTAGGGGGGTGACACCAAGGCAAAAAATAGCAAAATATATAGAGAAAAACTTGAGTGGGGGGTGCAAATCGAAAGTTTGAGGGGGGGGGGGGGTGCAAATCGAAAACTTGTCCCCGGGAACGGTCGCTACGCCTCTGGGGGGTGACACCATTAAGTGCCGCACCGGGTGACACCCCATCTCGCTACGCCACTGAGTAAGGGTATCAAATAGATAAAAAAGTGATCCACGCTTTTCTTTATGGCTATTTTAATAGTAGTTGGTCGTTTATTTTCTACTTTTTAGTGCATTATAATTTGCCATTATAATATAATTATTTTATTTTTTTTTATTTTTTTTTATTTTTTATTTTTTTATTTTTTTTTTTCCGAGCCGAGTCCTGCCAGGCGGTGAAACCGCACAAGCAGCATAGAGGACATATGACGACGGTATTACAATATAAAAAGCTTGTTAAAAACATTTCTGTGAACCGCATGAAAGCAGATATTTCAATGTAGACTTGCATCACGTACAAATTAAATATTTCATAAAGGTAAATGTTTTTAATTTAGACTAGAGTTAGATAATAAGTGTAGAATCTATAATAGTAAAGTAAATACAATAATTATAAACTAGTTTTAATATTAACATTTGATTAAATATCAAACAATGAATCTTTTTAAAAGAAATTATATTGCAGTTGATTTTCTCTGTATTATTAACGGTTTTTAATGAACAATTAATGTATAGCCTCCCTTGTTTTGAAGTTGTAAATGGTAAGCGGGATGAAAATATGGATATTTAATGATAATTAAAACAAATTTTCACTATTGCAATACTTTGATTATCAAAATATAAAAATATATGTATTTTTTGTGTTTATATGTTTTTATGCAATAGTAACATTTTTTTAAACAATATTTATTAAATTTTTGTGATAGGGTTGGTCCATAAATACTGCCACACTCGCAAGGGGGGGGGGGGGGGTCCGTAATTCTGTGACGGTGTGTGATTAGTTGGAAGGGGGGAGGTTCAAATGGTGTGACGTCACACTTTTGAATTATAAAAAAAGCAATGTTAGAAAACGAATTTAGCCGTTATTTCGCGTCTTAGAAAACTGTTTTAATAAATTGTAATAGGAATTGATTAAAATACTCTATGTTAACCGAGTTCAGACAAGATTGAGGAAAAAAATATCTTATTTTAAGGAAAATTCAACTTCAATTTTGAAGGGGGGGGGAGGTTGTAGGCTGAGGTATGACGTAATTTTAGAGGGTATGGTCTGGTTTTTTTGTGACGGAGGGGAGGGGGGAGGTAAAAATTGTCCGAAAAGCGTGACGTCATTTATGGATGACCCCATAGGCTACTGAGACTGCCAGCAATAGATTTTTTTTTACTAGCAAAGCGGGCTGGTGACTACATAATTCATGTAAAACTACTGCAGACAAGAACCTATCTTTGTTTTTTTTTTTTTTTTGTTTTTTTTTTTGTGTAATATAGCGTACTTCAGCTATTCTGGAATCATTTTGTTTGACAACTTCGTGCACAAATGTTGAAATATCAAACGAATCACTTTCTCCATATACAGTGTTTCTTCCAGATTTTTTTTCTTCGGATTGGGGGGGGGGGGGTGCACTTGAAATTTTCAGGAGAAGGGGGGTGTCGCACTTAAATTTCTGAGGGCGGGGGGATGGGCACTGTTAAAAGTATATATTTTCTATATAAATTCTCGTTGAGAGGGGGGGGGGCGGTGGTTTATACTCAAACCAATGTTATACAATCTGTAAAATATGCTGAAAGTAAGGGAAAACAGGTACTGATGAATTTTGTTTGTTTGTTTTCTTAGCTCAAAATTATTAATTCATCTGAGTTTCACATGTAAATTATTTCATCTTGGGTTTTATTTTTTTAATTTATGGATTCAGATTTGACAATTACAATGGCTAAATTAAATTATTGAAATGTTAGAAGGATGAAAAATTTTAATAACAGAGTAGGCATAAATTCATTGATTCAAGTAATTTACAAAGCTATTTTTACAAATTTATTTTTATACATTTCCTAAATTTTATTAACCCTTGTAGGGGTTTTTTTCAAGGTCATCAATAGATATCAAGTTTGTATTTGAGCCCCCCCTGGACGAAATGAAAAGACATAATATATAGAAAATATATACTTTACTTTAACCACAGTCCGTCCGTCCCACTCGGAAATTTTAAACGCCCCTTCCCAGTAGAAAAAACCCAGTTAAAGTGCTACTGTGACTACAAGCTATAAGTAAACAACAAAATCTTATCTCTTAAGAAATATCATACATCGTTAAAATACCTCACTATTACATAAACTAATGTTTACTGGCACATATATGTCTAAACAGACTGCCAAATGTAGATCTATACATTAAAAATAAAATAAAATGTACTTACCCACAGTGACCGCCCCTGCATTTTGTCTTGCGTGTCTCATTGGCGGTAACTGTGTATTTAACGTGGATACACTGGGTTGCCGCCCTTTGACCAGAGCGCCCGCTGTAGCAGTTGTATAGGAGAACATTCTTTTCTCAGACTGTGTCACGGTTAGGGGAGAGGACGGTCTTCGCTTGGTGGGGTGGTGGTCTTTGGACGATACCCCTGGGGGTGAGAGGGTTTTACTTCAACAGTCAGGTCTGGTAACTATTTAATTACCGACATGGCAGTAGTGGTCTTATTTTTTTTTAAAGTGCTATGGTGAAGATAATTTACTCCTACCGTAATAAGACCCTTGCCCACAAACAGAGTTTCTTCGGGGCCCCACCCGAAAGATTTTTACCGCCCCCCCCCCCCCCGAACAAAGTGAAATTTACATAATTTTTATAGAAAATATATACTTTTAACAGTGTCCGCCCCCCCCACCCCCCCCCCCCCCCCCCCCCCGAAGAAAGTCTACCCCCCCCCCCCACCCCGAAAATTTCAAGTGCCCCGACGGTGAAAAAGTCTGGAAGAAACACTGCCCATAAACCTAACCAAAACAAGCTCTATCCCAGTACCTAGCCCCAGCCATAACCCTTCCAGCAACAACATGAAGGAAAATGACATTGATTTGATTCCCTGTTTCACTATTAGAGACCAAAGTGCCAAAAACAACAATGAATCAGCATCTCGCAGGCTTAATTACTTAACCAATCAATAGTTTAGCAAACTAATGTGCAGAGCCTTGATGTCCAGAGATTCTGGTGCTTTCCTGTTATACGCGTAATGGAGAAATTATTTACTCACGAGCCGGCCCGCGGCATAACATACGCCGCTATTTAGTTGTTGTTTTTTCTACTTTTCAGTAATTCATAATTTGACGGTACCAACGCTGCCACTGAAAATATTTCTTTAAAACACTATAAGTAGCACGTTAAGGACCATAACCCCCCCTTCCGTCCCACCCCCTCCGTTCAAACCCCTCCGTCCCCACCCCCCCCTCTACGTTTAGAATCGTTTCAAACTAAATTATCTGCCCCTAATAGTCGTCACTAAACCCGGCTCTGCTTGTAAACATTTAGAGTGAACACAGCTCACTAAGACCATGTAGGTGTGGGGGTGGTAGGGAGCTTGTTTTTACAGCTTGTTTTCTAGGGTCTCCCAGAAGAGAATTATATATATAGATATCTGTAGTCTCGCAGAAAACAATACTATATATACATATATATATATACAAATATATATAATACATCTATGTACATCTATATATACATAAATATATACATACATATATATATATATATATATATATATATATATATATATATATATATATATATATATATATATATATATACATATATTTACATAGACTTATTCACAATATATATATATATATATTTATATATATATATATATATATATATATATATATATATATATATATATATATATATATATATATATATATATATATATATATATATATATATATATATATATATATATATATATATATGCCTATTTGAGCTTGACAACGTTGATTTATCTTTCTCAAATTTATATTTTTGCATGAGGTGGCTAGTGCTCAACTGACTGCCCCTAACTCCGTCACAAACATTAAACCTTGACCTAACGCTCTGAATTCTTTTGTTATCGACACATCCTTAGCCTTAACTCTAAACCTAACGCTATTATGTCCACTCATTCTCTACCCATATCTGATGTAATAGCTAATACACTAGTTTGATATAGCATGATGTCACCTCCTATAAAATAAAAAGTGTTTTTAGCCTTTGTCAGCGCACATCTGTGAAGATTGTATGGAAGGACGTGTGGGTTATTTTTGCCGATTTCCTGCCATTTGTGTTTGTCATACAGCCTACAGTAGAAAAAAAAATGTATCGCAATGTACTTCAGTCAACACATTTCTTTAGCAGAAAAAACACTTCAATATGGGTAGAATAAGAATTAATAGGATTTCGTCAGGAGTCGTCCATAAATGACGTCACTTTCGTAGGTGGGAGGGGGGTCCGTAATTTTGTGACGGTGTGTGATCAGGGGGGGGGGGGGGGCGCTCAGATTGTGTGACGTCACACTTTTGCATCATAAAAAAAAAGCAACGTAAGAAAACGAATTTTAGCCGTTATTTTGCGTTTTTAGAAAACGGTTTTAATAAATTGTAATAAGAATTGATTTAAATACTGTATGTTAACAGAGTTCATACAAGATTGTGGAAAAATATCATATTTTAACAAAAATTCAACAGCAGTTTTTTAGGGGGGGGGGTTGTAGACTGATGTGTGACGTCATTTTAGGTGGGTGGAGTCTGGCTTTTTGTGACTATGTGTGACGGAAAGGAGGGGGGAGGTAAAAATCGTCAAAAACGCGTGACGTCACGATGATTTTTTACGGTAACTATAACTATTGTCCTTGTAAACAACGTCAGACTAATTACTACCACTAAGGGAATGTAGGACAGAAATTTTAAGTGATTCAAATTAAAAAAGAATAACAATTCACAATATTACCAGAGGTTGTTATGAGCCTTCCCTCCGTTGTATCCTCCTGCACAAATTAACTCTTTGCCGTTGTTTGCGCATGCGCAGCCAGACCGAGGCGACACGAGAGATCCGCATTTGGACCAGAGGTTAGTTTCCGGGTCATAGATCTCACAACTTCCGGTGACTTTACCATCGTCGGTCTCTCCACCTAGAACCACACATATATGTATTTGGCAGGTATGTCTGAGAGGGGGGGTGTAGAGTGAGAAGGCAGAAGAGAGCAGAGGCGTAGCGACCCATTCCGGCGCCCGGGGCGAAATATCAATTGACTTTTTTCGGGAGGGGGCGGACACTGTTAAATTTATATATTTTCTATATAAATTCCATTACGTTCCCAAAGAGATGCCTGGAAGAAACTCTGGCAGTGCCAGCGCCAGGTTATTTAGCGCCCTAGCCAAAACGTATTACAACGCCCCCTTTTACTTAAATTACTTACTAAAACATGTATAAGAAAACAATTCATTAAAAGTGACATATTAATTTATTATCAATTGCATACGCATCATAAGTAGACATCAAAATCAAACTTTACTTGCTTCCTTCGTCGCAAAAGTTTGTACTAATTCCTTCAATTCCAGTTTGCAAGCGTAATCACATTCTATTGAAATTGTCCACGAGTGTACTTTGTACTTTACAACATAGCCCCCCCTCCCCCCCCCCCTTAGAAAATTGCAAGTGCTTTCCTTTCCCCCCCCCCCCCCCTCCAGGGAGAAAAAAGTCTAGAAAAAAACACGTGAAAAAAACACAGTTCTTGTAGTGTTGGGCTCTATGTAGACCTCCCAAGGTGAGTTCCAGGGCGGAGCTTACCTGTTTTAACCTTAACTGTTTTTTTTTGTTATAATACTTAAATGTCTATATTGTATAATTATGTTACGATTTTTTTTTTTGAAAAATTAAAGGTTATAAATGTTATAGTTAGATTCCAGCCTACAATTGTTATATATGAATCCTTTAGGAGAGGGTGAAACTATGAAAAAGACAATTAATTAGATGATTAATTTGCGACTTAGACGCTTTTAGACACATTAGTTGCACTATCTCATACTGTATCTCTACTAACATTAAGTATTACAATCTGCAACGGTTACTGATGTAGGCCTATTTGTTTTTCAACTGGATAATGCTAAAAAATCATACCAAATTTTTTGTTTGGAATTTCTACTCTATATAATCTTAACAAAAGCAAATAATAACTTTAAGTTGTATTTATAATCTCAGCGGACAATCTTAGATGCAGGAATTTGAAACGAATGTTAAGTTAAGCAACAAATTATCTCCTATTTGGAAACCCAAATACCAAAATTTAATATAAGGGAAATAACTATCACAAGAATAGCTAATATAATCAAGTGTAACTAAGACATGCTTGAAAAACACAATAAAACAGTCTAAATTTTATTACGTAATAATTATAATAAATCGTTTATATTAGCTATGTAACTATTTCAAAACAATATATTTTACTTATTAACTACTTAACTGTAGGTTTTGCTTGAAAGTCTAAATACGTTAGTTTTATTAGAAGCATATTCTAATTAATATTGATGACATTCTTTCAGTTGTATAGGATTCAATATGTTACAACGTAAAATTTTGGATCCCCTGAATAAGGGGACGCCTTAAAAAAAAACCAAATGCAGGAAACAGTTAACTTTAAGACATTGCTGTAATTATTGATTAAATATACAAAAATTATAATTGGAAAAAAAAAAACAAAGTATACGGTAATTATAAATTCCAGCCTATGTAATATTATATATTAGTACTTCAAGAGTGGTAATATAGATTCCTAAAAGCCTAAAGATTGTCAGCTAGAGAACGCCTACCTTTCTTTGTAGTGTGTTCCATACTGAATTGAAATCATCTAACTCACGATAAACTCGACTACTCGATAGACTTTACTACATTAAAAACACATACCAAACTTTAATACCTAAACATAACTAGACTTGATGCTCCAGAACTACGACACCAAATCGCTTAACTTCACCAAGCTCTACAAACGATACTCCCAATCAACAACGATTTAACTGGACCTACTACTACACATTAACAGTCAATACCTTAATACCACAAGACTCGATAGTCCCGAACTCCAAAACTACGATACCTCATCACCTACATTCTCATTTCACTACTTCCAATCATTCCACTAGACCTTCAACTACACAACAGCCAAATAAAAAATACGACACTTTAACACTTCGATACCTTATACCTACGAAACCATATCAGCAACATCCTTCCGCCGTTACTCCCAAATCTAAACGATTCATCAAAACTTACCAAACAAGTGCAATACTTTAAGCACCCCTTCATTACAAAACTGAATACACCAGAACAGATTTCTAATTCAAAGTCAGAGAAATCGAGACATACAAGCCCTACTAAAAACCAAAATTGCACGTGTTTTGGAACGCCCCGTCATGCGCTGGAGCGATCACAAAATCAACATTAAAATTAGATAACCGTTTGAAATGTTCGAAATTTAAATTACGAACTTATTTAATCGCTTTCTTCATCAATTATGTGAAACCAAAATAAAAGGGCAAAGTGACTGGTAAAAAGCGCCCCGATATTTCCATAGTAGTGACGTATGGGTGCATTTTCACCAACGCTAATAATGTACGCCTATATAGGCCTAATTTTGGGGTGGGGGTGCAAAATTGATAGTTCGTCCTGGGTGCCGAAATAGATCGCAACTCATTTCTTTATTACCCTGTCTATCTATGTATATGTTACGGTCAAAGCCCGAAGTCGGCCAATGCTAGGATTGGCCGGCCAATCCGCGCATTGGCCAATATCGCATCTCATGGGTCGGTCAAAGTCCGAAACTTTGCTTGATTTCGGCCTTTGGCCGGCCAGTCCGCGGACTGGCCATGGTGGACCGGCCAAAGTCTTAATTAGAAGATCATCTGGCTAGGGACGACCGGCTAATAATCCTCTACATGACCGTATCGCTACCACCCCCACCCCATCCAGTCTGGTGAGCTGTTTACAATCGTAGTGACGGCTATTAGGGGCAGATAATTTAGTTTTAAAACGATTTGAAATTAAGGGGAGATGATAACATGTTCTACTTGATCTTTTCATTGTCGTCTGTAAACTGTCACAGACGGCTGCTTTCACGGAGGCGAGAGGGAGGGGGGGGGGTAGAAGAGTGGAAATTGAGGGTGAGGATAATCGTCCTTCACTAGCTACTGATAGTGTTTTAAAGCAAAATATTTTCAGTCACAGCATTGGTAGTGTCGAATTCACAAATAATGAGTTACTGAAAAATAGGAATTAAACTAAATAGCGGCGTATGCTACGTCGCGGGTCAGCTTGTAGTTTATAAAAGATAATCAAAGTTATTAATTATTAGGTACTTTTTGATAATAGCGATTAAACCTTTTTGCGCCCCCTAGGGATAGCGCCCTAGGCGACCGCCTAGTTCGCCTTATAGGTAGCGCCGGCCCTGAGGTAAGGGCATCAACTCAGTGTACGTAGGCCACTGAAAAAAGTAAAGACTCCTCTCCAGACATAGCAATCCATTGGGTTCATGTTTCTTGACCTCGGTTATGAAGGGATGGTGTGGTCAGAACTATGACCAGCCGCCTTTACTTTCCCCAACGTAAGTCAGGTACCCATCTGAGCTGGGTGGACTCAGTGACGTCTTACAGTCAAAAATCCGAACTGAGATCCGAACTAGAGACATTCGAGCTAGCAGTATAAAACTGTTCTGTAATTATAAATCTGTTCTGTAATTATAAATCTGTTCTGTAATTATAAAACTGCTCTATAAATTATAGAACTGTTCTGCAATCATAAAACTGTTCTGTAATTCTAAAACTGTTTAGTAATTATAAAACTGTTCTGTAATTAGAAAACTGTTAAGTAATTATAAAACTGTTCTGTAATTATAAAATTGTTCTGTAATTTTAAAACTGTTCTGTAATTATAAAACTGTTCTGTAATTATAAAACTGTTCTGTAATTATAAAACTGTTCTGTAATTATAAAACTGTTCTGTAATTATAAAACCCATCTGTAAGTATAAAACAATGTTATGTAAGTATAAAACACTGTTATGTACTTACCACAGACAAATATTCTCCCTTTAACAACACAGACCCCAAATTTACATCTGGCCACAGACATGCTTCGACATTCGAACCATTCGTCGGTACACGGGTTGTATCTGTGGACGAACGACTCGATCAGGTGTGATAACTCTTGTCATAATTACAGTGAAGGCAAAAAATGCATTTCGTCACACCAAGAAAATGTACTAGATTTTCAGTGATCATCGCCCCTTACATTGCATAATTTTTAGTAACCTTTAGTAACTTTGTTCGACTCAATTCTAAATGCAGCGAAATGTTTGGGAGAATTTTTATACCACTGTCCGATAATATAATCTTCTTTAAAAAGGGGTGTTAGGTCACTGGTAGTTAACTAAATTGCACACGTGGCTTGCTAATGTCAATGTTAAACCTATCCCTAACCCTAACCCCAACCCTAGTCCTACCATACGCCTAACTCAAATGTTTAGCCATAAAATTAGTCGAGATTACAATACTACTAACAACCCAACACACCTATTTTTGGAAGAGTCTATTATCGGACATCTGGTAGCTAACTAAAATCATGTCATTAAAAAGATGTTAAGACTGAGATGAGTTGTGTTCGTGGATATTTTAAATCTAGAGAGCCGACTACATACGTGAATACTTATTCTAGTATTCTTATTTCAGCGATTTAAAACCTTGTTATAATAAAGGATTTCAGAAACGTTTTATTTCTCTGTACACTCTTAAACGCCCATATCTCTTATAACACATTTGAATGATAATCCTCCACACTTCCACCTTTTGTTCAGAGGCGTAGCTAGGGGAGGGTGGGTGGGTGGGGTGGCCACCCCGGGTGCCGACACTAAGGGGTAGGAACAAATTATATTTGAATTACACACAATCGAAGTTAAGAAAAGTTACTTGTCATTATTAAACTTCATCAGTTGTTTGAAACTAAAATTCAAAGGGTAAGTGAGAGGTAAAAATCTATAACTATATAAAATGTCGAGGGGGTACAAAATCAAAAGTTCACCCCGGGCGCTAGAATGGGGCTCTGATTTTGTTATGTTATATTATGCACTGTCCTTTGTGAAAAGCTAGACAAATGGAATTCCCCCCCCCCTCCCCCCCCCCCCTCCCCGACACACGAAACACAACTAAAAGCAGAATCACTCACCTGACGACTCGGGTCAAACAACGACCTTGAACTTTGTCGAAGCCGCCCAGGATGTAGATGGACTTCCCAAGGGCGACCACTCCAAAATCCGCCACCCCGTACGTCTGCTGCCATTTCTCGATGTGCACGCGGTACGACACGATGGCGGAAAAATTTTCCGTGAGGAGGAGGTAACTCACTTCACCCGACCCGGTACGGCTAACCACGTACAGTCGTCGTTCTATCATCGAATCGCCTCCCTTATTAAACCTGACGTCATTTGGTGACGTGTTTTCATCTACACTCTTTGAGGCGTACTCCACAAGAATGCGCGCGGCCATGACTTCCGGTGACGTCATGCTGGTCTATTCAGCGGCTGACATGTATAGGTCATTGAGACGAATTCAGTAATTATTGTAATTAATTAACTTCCCAATAAAGATAATGTTATTTCTCACTTTTTACTGTGACCGATTTAATACTTGAATTCTGAAATTTTAAAAATAAGCAACAGAAAGTAACATTGATATTGCTATATATCAAACATTTTTTTAAAATAATACAAATCACAATTTGAAAGCGATAAGTACATGTGTGTATATATATATATATATATATATATATATATATATATATATATATATATATATATATATATATAGTTTTATAAAACTGCATATTGATAAATATACAGAGGGTGAAAAAAGTGTGGTTAACATTTAAAAATGACTGGGTTGGATCCGAAACTACAACTTTACATTGGCATCATATCACCAGAGTTTCTTCTAGGCATCTCTTTCAAGTGCAACCCCGGAGAAAAAAGTCTGGAAGAAACATTGCATATCTCCATGATGAAAAAATAACGAATGAAATAAACAAATTCTGCAGTCAGCATAGACCTAACTGAACTGAAGCCGTTTTTAAACTGCTAGCGACCCCGTGTTTTATCGATTAGAGTGTACTGGCCCTATCACTTTCCCAATGCCGCAAATCTTCACAGCTACCGTGTCTGTCTGGCAGACGATATCTCCTGGTATTGACGAAGGCTGTGTAATCGATATTGCAATAATTCTGGGCCGTTAATCCACCCGGATTAGCTGTTGCCACTGCACTGGATATGAGATCGTTTTAATTAAACATAGTCAACACAAGTCTTCGAGTCAGGCTCGTTTGTTGCGACATGCAGGGGAATTAATAACTAGCTGGAGACGTTTTTAATCACCGCACATTTTTAAAATCACCGCACTTAATCCAGCTTTAAAAAATCTCGTGCGATTAAAAAAAAAAAACTTCCTTCATAGATTTTCACAACAGCGGGTGAAGTGTTAACCTAGTTCTTGCCAGTGTTTCTTTCAGACTTTTTTTTTCTCGGGAGATGTGGGGGGTGGTGGTGGCACTTGAAACTTTTCCACGGTAGGGGGGGGGGGGGGGGAGCCCGACGAAATGCTAGGGGTAGCCGGGCAGTGTCAAAGATAGTCAGGCGAATTAGCAATTTTCATTAGCATCCTCAATTTTTCTCCCATCCAATTGAGTTTAACGCCTTGGCATATAGGAAAGTATATGGTGAAATGGAGAAACGACAGAAATATTTTTTTTATTAAAAATCAAAGCACTAATAGACTTATTACATCAACGTTCCTAAAGGCCCACGGGATTTTTACCCGGGGCCCATAGGGATTTTACCCGGTAGGTCGGCGGGCCAGTCCATACCTAGTTCTATCCAGTGGCGTAGCGGGGTCGGGTGTCACCCGATGCGGTCCGCCCCCTGCCCCCCCCCCCTCGCTACGCCCCTGGTTCTAGCAGTTTAGTTTTTACATCCGGCGGTGACGTTCAAGACAAGAATTTGTTCAAGTTACGGTCGACTTTCGAACCACAGATCACGCTTCGTCAGTAGCGTAGCAAGGGGGGGGGGGGACATATGTCCCCGGGCGCCGACCTTAGGGGGCGCCAAAATGGGTTGGAAAAATAAATTGAAAGGTTGAGAGGGGTGCAACTTGAAAGTATGAGGGGGGGGGGGGGGGTGCAAATCGAAATCTTGAGGGGGAATGGTGCAAAGCGAAAAGTTTGTCCCCGGGCGCCGGGAAAGGTCGCTACGCCTCTGCGCTTCGTAATTCAAATCCGTTTCAAATCGACTTTCCTTTTCGTAACCCTAATTATTCGTATTACGGGGCAACACATTAGCACGTATTTCTCTACCGATAACTTGAATGAAGGCAATTAAAAGTTTATAAGTCCTTTGCCTGACTGTATCTGTGATTAAAAACTCTTTTCTAGTTGTATGTTAAAGTGAATTTAATATTTGAACATACGATTGTAATGTTTTCGCTACTACGTTACTCAGACTACATCAAGTTGATTCTTGATATATATTAAATGTATTATTCTTACAGCGTGTTTTTGTTTTCATAGTAAACAACACACATTAATAATGTATACACTGAAGTGCTTATTCTTAAAAATATTATTCAACGAATTTTACAATGCCACCCCCCCCCCCACCCCAATACACACACAAGCAACCTGGTAAAACTACTTCGTGGTTCGTTTATTTAAAGATTGCTTGGTGTTTTACTCGTTGCATATGAGTTTGGTGTTGTTTTACTACTAATCAAACGGGGCCACTCTACACACCGCACAAGCTTACGGAATACCTTGCAGTGTTTCCTCCAGACTATTTTCTCCGGGGGGGGGGGCGGACTAAAATTTTCGGGGGGTGGTGTTAAAAGTATATAATTCATACATATATTCCATTTCGTTCGGGGGGAGGGGGAGAGGTAGACTTTCTTCGGGGGGGGGGGGGAGATGCCTGGAAGAAACTCTGATACCTTGTCACACATGCAACATCTTTAAATATTGTCCGAAATATATCTTAAGGCAGACTCAATTTTCATATTTTTTTTCTTTCTTTTAAAAGTAGCCATGGGGCCACTCTGAGCTTGCCTTCTCCTTATCTAAACAGCTAAACTCTACTTTATCTACTGTGCTCTAAATCTGATATTGTCCGATGCTGAATATAAATCCATATTTTAAAAACATTTTTGAGATTTATATATATATATATATATATATATATATATATATATATATATATATATATATATATATATATATATATATATATATATATATATATATATATATATATATATATATATATATATATATATATATATATATGCCCAGAATACATCCTAAAGACTGATACTTAAAATCAGTTGACCTGTCAGATATACTTTTATCTACTGTTTATCTAAGCAATAGTCTCTGAATAGTTTAAAAATAAATTAATCAAAAGCAAACTTACAATTTTCAGTTACAATATAATTGTCCAAACATAATTAGAAAACAACTTTACACAAGAACCTACTAGATCTATCTGAACATATAAGTTCTATTTACTGTCTCAACACATTCCTTAAAAAAAAAAACTTGTCAATTTATTGATGGCCTCAAAGTATTGAACACACGATTGAAAAGGAAACTCCTATACACAAACCCTTCGTTGGAAAACACGATACCGCAAGGGGAGAGAACCACGACATGTCATGTTTCCAGCAATATATTATCGGCCCTGTCAATAGGACCATTTGTTCAAATTAACTACGCTATACAGAGCAAAAACATGTCGGGCTATGAATAGAAGAATGAAAGAGAAAATTGAATAGATATCTTAGAGTTGAATAGATAGGTCTTGCATAGATAAGTTTTAGAATTAAATAGACGAGGGTTAGAGTTGAATTGATACGTCTTAGATTTGGAAATGTAAGTCTTATATAGATAAATTTGATTTTAACAGATGTCTTTAAAATAATAGTGCCCCCACCTTACCCCCCACAAAAAAAACAGAAACTTTGTATCACTAAAGCTATCAGTTCATTATTCAATTAATTATTTAAAATCACATTATTAACAAGCAAGCAGAGTTTCTTCCAAGCATCTCTTCGAAGAAGAATCGTCCTGATTTTTATTATTTCAATCAAATTATAAGCCTATCAATGATGGCGGAATTATATTGGAATAAAGGCTGTGTTTTATTCATAGTGTATAGGAAATACTTTATTTTAACTTTTATTAGATCTAACTATTTTTTTAAAGATAAAATATATGATAAAATTAAAAAGGCAATAAAAGCTTTAGATACGAAAAATACTTTAAGAAAAAAAAAACTTATCAAAAGAACTGAGTATCGAGTTAGTGGTGTGGTTGTACCCCAGCCCGAGAACTGGAGCACAAATCATCAGCTTTAGGCTCTGTTGATAAAGTCGTGGTTTTACCCACACCACCACGGCTCAGTCCGATAGCTAGCTTGTATTTGATAGTTTTATGTCTACGACACGAGTGTGGTGCAATACTTGCAGTCACACAGAGCAGTTACGTATCTGGAAATTTTAGTCGCCTTCACCCCCTGACTGGTAAAATTTCTCTGTTGATAATTATTATGCTTAAATTTACTTGGCAAA